TGGCATACATACCAAGCTCTGAAAATCATGTTAAGGATGGTGCCAAACCAACTAAACAAAGCAATCAAAACATGCAACAATGGTCCAAGACTTAAGGCAAGCCAAAGGGGAGGTAAACCAAGGCTAGGTCAACCAAGCCTCACAAGGCCAAAGGGACTTAAAGTAGGTCTAATGCAGACCTAAACAAAGCCAAGGATGTACTTAGATGGCATCTAAGTGGTCTAAAAATGCAAGCATACTCCAAGGCTTAAACAAGGGGCACAAGGCACCAACCTTTAAACGCATTGAAGGGGGATCAAATGCAAGCACATGGGCACATCATGAGGTCTGAAATAACATGACAAGTGGTTCCAAACCGCTGAAATGATGCAAATAGAGCATGGTAGAGGAGCCAACACTCAAAGCATACAAGCTAGATTGCATGGTAGCTATACAAAGCAAGTCATGGATGACCCAAACAACCAAAATCAGACCTAAATCATGGCAAAATAAACATGAAAGCTTCACAAAGCTAGGCCTAAAGCATGCTTGAACAAGGGTTAAAACCTAGATGCATGTTAAGGCAACAAAATGGCATTACAACGCATGTATGCTAAGCAAGCATGGTGTACCAAAACCAACTAAAAACAGAGGCATATTATGACATAATAAGCACAAAAAACAGCTAAGGCATGATCAACATGAACCCAAACATGGTGCTCCCTCAAGAGGCCAAAAATGGTCCTTTTCAAGGACAACAAGAAGAGGGGGTGCGCTCTCCTTCCTAGGACCTCAAGGCACCATCCACACCTCTAAAATCCCTCAAGATTTCAGTGGTGGGGAGGCCCAAACCCAATGGTCCTGGAGCTCACCCAAAATGGCACAAAATGGAGCCTTACAAGGCTTAAGAGGGGTCAAACAACTCCAAAGCTTGAAACAACCTTAGACAACTATTTAGAGGGCCTAAAAACAGAACTTTTTTATGTTATACACAAAGCTCAAATATAGATGCAAGATAGGTAAAAGTAGTGTGCAAAAATGGGGGATAAAAGGGAAAAGAGATTACCCTTGTAGACCTTCTTCAACAATGGAGCTCCAGCAGCTTCTTTAGGTTGAAACCAGCTTCAAAACCTCCAAAACAACCCTCAAGAGGCCTCAGCTCCAAGGGATGGTGTGATGGTGGGTGCTTGTGAGCAAAAGTAAGACAAAACACATACACTAAGCTCAAGAGAGAGAGAGAGAGAGAGATATAGGATATATATATAAATCCTAACCTAAAACTAGAGCTCTCTAACTATTTTTTTCTAACCCTAAATCCAAGAGAGGAGACTCTCTCTTATAGAGCTCTCTCTTGTAAAGCTTGTCAAATAAGCTTGTCAAGAGAGAGATCCCTCCATACACGTGCATGGAGGGGTGAAAAGGTGGGTGCCAGCTATCACAGCTGGCACAAAATATCTACCAAAAGTAGATGAATAGTAATCGGCCATTCAAAATCGCCATTTTGGCAAAATAAATGGCCGACCGGCAACAAAGAGTGCCGACCGGCAATATATATTGCCGATGGCATAAAATCACTGGCCGGTGGCCTCAAGCCATGGCCGATGATGTGTGGGGATGCCTCACAAGGCATTCCCTGCCCCTCCAAGGCAAAACACAAGTGTTTGGTGCAAAACCAGACACAACACAGTCAAGTCGAGAGGTCCTGAGACAAGGCGCGCAGCCGAGACCTTCGGGAACTCAAGACGAATACAGTAATCACCAAGTGTTCCAATGGTGACGTCCAAGTCTTGAGGACGGTCAAAAATGGGGTGTCTATAGTTTCCCCTCTTTGACAGAACTCGAAAGTCATAATAATGACGGGAGTGAATGTCAAAGCCCAGAGACGACCCATTTTTGACAAGGCCGAAGACTCAGACGAACATGCAAGACAATCAAGATATGCGCCCGAAGGCGGGGGCAAGATGCAAGGCAATGCACAGAGCCGGACATAACTTATGATCATGCAAAGAAAGCTGTAATGAAGCACACATGCGATAGTTTTAAGCTAGCATACACCAAACTACACTATAATGCAGAAAGGATGTAAGAGAATTATGCAATTCTCGATACGCCTCACTCGGAGGATACAATACCTGTGCGGCTCATCTGGTTGCACCAGCCTCAAATGAACCGTACATACAATATCGTGCCTGCAAAGAAAACAACTCAACAGGTAAGATGTTATTAGCAACATGCATGACAATGCAAAAATGGATGCAAAATGATATGCAATATATACAAAATAATGTATAAACAAATGCAAATAAAAGATGCAATGTAATTGAAACAATGCAAATTATATGCAAAGCAATTGAATCATGATCCAATCATGAGCGGTTTGAAATCACACCTATGTCAAATAGATTGATGGAGGTAACAAGTCCGTCTACCATAGAACGATCAACTGAACTATGAGTAATGTAGACGGACACAAGAACAAGTATTGGGGGGGATGACAAAGGTGAGGAAACGGCCCGCTGGGGAAAGGACAATGATCCTAACACTGGATGCAACAATTACACTACAATGTAATATACACAATGAAAATGCTGGGGAAAATGGCAATGGATATGGCACGCGGGCCAAACCAAATCTTGCCTAGGCAAAGCATGTACGCATACAAGCCGCGTCTAACATAGAACGGTCCACTGAACTATGTTTCGACGTGAAAAGTATGGGCGCATACCGGACCAAGCTCAATCATGGAAAGGCGCGAGCCATAGGCGGAGGTGATGCAGTGAATGCATGCAAGCTACAATGTAATATCTACAAATATGCAATGGAACGGAAATGGATACAATGGATATAGCCTACGGACCAAACCAAATCTTGCCTAGGAAGGGCATGTACACGTACAAGCCGCGTCTAACATAGAACGGTCCACTGAACTATGCTTCGACACGAGAAGTATGGGCACATACCAAACCAAGCTCAACATGGAAAGGCGCGAGCCATAAATGGAAGGTGATGCGATGAATGCATGCAAGCTACAATGCAATATACACTACATTACAATGATGCATGACAATGCAACTATTTACGATGATGCATGACAATGCAATTATATTTTTTTGTTTTGTTTTTGAAATGCAAATGCATGATGATGCATGATTTTGAAGTGCGCGACAACGCACGGCTTTTGAGATGCACGTGAACTTGAATATGCGACGACGCGAGTCGCTTGAAACACATGTATAATGCAACTCATCAAAAGTCGTTCGGGCACGACAAACACCGAAGGACTTGCACCTTCAAAGGATTTAGGGTCTCCTAGACCGTGGCGGACTCTCGATATGCCTCACTCGGAGTATACCATACCTGTTCGGTTTGTCAGGTTGCACCAGCCTTAAATGAACCGTACATACAATATCGTGCTTGCAAAGAAAACAACTTAACAGGTACGATGGTATTAACAACATGCATATTAATGTACTTAGAAATGCGTGACAACGCAAAGCAAGTGGGAAGCATAACAATGCTATGAAGGCACAGACACGTAAGTGGAACACGCGGTCTACGCAAGAAACGAAATTGATCATAAGCATGCGGTCTACGCAAGCAATGAAATTGAACATAAGCATGCGGTCTACGCAAGTAGAACATGCGGTTTTCATAAGAATGCGGTCCACGCAAGTAAAACATGCGGTCTACGCAAGCAAAACATGCAGTCTACGCAAGCAAAACATGCGGTCTACGCAAGTAATGAAATTGATTATGAACATGCGGTCTACGTAAGCAAAACATGCGGTCTACGCAAGCAAAACATGCGGTCTACGCAAGTAGTCTGATTGAATGCATGCAAAATGCAATAAGATGCGCAAAATAGCGCGATGCGTTAGACAACGCGAGTGCACAAGACAGTGCGATTGACATGTGATGCACATGGGGCAACTTTTGAGTTTTATAAAAACCAAAAGGATACAGAAAGGATACACCTTGCACGAATTCGAGTGCCACGCACAGAAGACCCGATCCGAGGTCAAAACGGAGGCCGGTTGAACGTCAGAAATGCACTGTTTTGCATTGTTTTGAACACTAAAGGCCCTGGACCCCACATATAACTCAAACAAAGGTGTAGGAGGCTCCAAAACTACTGTAGGAGATCACCGGATGTCCACCGGCCATCAAAATGCATCACCGGCCATCCATCGGCCATCATACAATTTCCATCGGCACAATATTTTGCCGACCGGCAAAGAGTGTGGCCGACCGGCAAAAAGTCCCTGTATCAGGGCAGTTCAGTCATTTCGCCACAGGTCCTTTAAAATAGGGCTTCTAGCCCTATTTTCTTTACTTCCCCTTGCTCGAAATCTCCTCCTCTCTCTCTCTAAGATATTTTCCGAGCCTTATTCCCTCGTTTTCCTTGGTTTTTGGCTCCGTTTCGTCATTCGATTCGCATTCACCCTTGCGTTTCGAACATTTTGAACCAATTGAAATTTCATTTCGGTGTTGTTTTTTCAATTTCCGCCACTCGGGGCTTGTTTCCCTTGAGTTTTTCTCGATATCTGTGCCTTTTCAGAAATCATTTTATTTCCCTATGAAATGATGTGGTTTAATTTAATTATATCTATTAGAATTGAAGCATTATCAGTTGAGTTACGGACTTAAAATGGGAATTACCGACCTTTATGGGTTCAAAAATTAAAATTGAGTACTTGGATATGTTAATGGGAATTTTGGAATTATTTGGGAAAATTAATTTGAAATCTAATTTGTCTGATTCGTTAATGGACGTTTGGGTGATTAACTTTATACTGCAAATTAAAGGCCTTAAAGACTTTAGATACCGGAACAGGGGACATATTTATGATCAGCATAATTTTTAGAGTTATCTGGGAAGTTTAATTGAAATGTGATTTTGTGCGATTCGTAAGGGCGTGTTTGGCCCTTCCTATTTGTGGGAAGCTTTTATATATGCATATATGCCTTATGAGTTGTTGAACTCATCTATTTTGAACCAAACAAAAAAATAAAAATATCTAGAGAAAGGGGAAGGAGAACCGTGAGAGAGAGAGAGGGAGAGAGAGAAGAGGCAAAGCTTCTCCCTAAGGAATTCAACATCCATGGAAGCTTGAAGATGGTTGAAGAAGATAGAAGAGAGAGGAAAGATCAACCAAAAGCTTGGGAAAAATTGAAGAGACTAAGGGATGAACAAAGGTTTGGGTAAGGTATCTGGCTCTAATTACTAACCTTGTATATAATCCATCTACTACTTGAAATCATGGATTGATATAGAAGATGTGAGCTTTGAACCCATGAACCTTGATTTTCTAAGAATTCCTTGATTGAAGAAGTAAAATTATTAAATTTGTTTATTGTGAGATTATGGTGTTTGATGAAGAATAATAATGTGAAATTGGTCATGTATTAAAGGGTTTTGGGCTTTGATTTACATGTAATTAAGGTTTGATTTTTGAAAATGAGAAGTCCCACAATTTCAGCCATTTTCGGACTGCTGCTGTCCAGGGCCGCATGTGCGGCACTGTTCACCCGCACGTGCGGAGACAGCTCTGTCCAGCCAACTTTAAATAGGTATCTTTTGCATTCGGACACCTTTTTGAGTGATTCTTGAGCCTAAAATCAAGCCCCGGAAGTCTAGTTTCCAATGGCGCTAGTCTCACTCCAAAACTCTAAATACAGAAAAAGTTATACCCAAATTAGTGACGACTGTTCACGTTATGTCAATTAGTTATGTACCATTTCTTCACCTAAACCATTTCCTATCGATTTCTCCTGTTTTCTAAGACATGGATTACAACATATTAAAGAATAATGAGCTTGGTACCACCATGACTAATTGATTGAACGATCAAAGAGAATAAGTAAAGGATCGAATATAACCTCATATTATGTGTTGTGCATTGTAATTGTAGGTTGAGACGAGGACATTGTACCATTACCACCGGGAACCGATCACTGTGAGTAGTAGTACTTTGATGTACCTTTAACCATTTATCGTTATTGATGTTAAATCTTCGTCGTAAGAATTATGTTGACATAAATGTTATGAATGCTATGTGAGAAACACTGTGATATTATGGAAACTTCAAAAGAGTTTATGAAGTTAGGTGAGAAACATTATGGAATTATGAAAACATCAAAGGAACTTGTGATTGTGTGAACCCCTCAGGCCAAGGGCCGAACTGTGAAATTGTGAAACCAATAAAGTCATCTATAATCTAATGAGAATGTACTTACTTTTCGTTACTAATTATCAGGAATGTCCTGTTAAGTTTACGTTAATTATGTCAACTCATGGGAATGATGTAACAGTTACCATTAGGACTATGTTAATTACAAGGCAAGGCAACTATGTTAACATATAAGAATGATTAAACAAAGGTGTATGCTATTGATAAGAGAGCACGTAAAGTAAGTCATTTACCCAAAAGAATTTATGTTCATTCTTGAAGAATGGATTCTGAGTAAATATAAGAGTAGCTACATGTATCCAGATGAATTGAAGTTAATTTGTTATGTTGCTTATGAATTGGAAGTGATCCAGAATCTATGATATAGGTGTAAAGTTTAGCATCATTATGTGACCCTCATGAGAATGTGAATTAGTCTCTCATTGTTGAGCGTACGATAATGACACGATACAACAAGAAATGCTCTAGTTATGATATGTTCCGTTTGAATTAATGAATGATGTTCAAGTATGTTTCAGGCATGTTTCCAGTATGTTACTGGGCACATACCAAACCAAGCTCAACATGGAAAGGCGCGAGCCATAAATGGAAGGTGATGCGATGAATGCATGCAAGCTACAATGCAATATACACTACATTACAACGATGCATGACAATGCAACTATTTACGATGATGCATGACAATGCAATTATATTTTTTTGTTTTGTTTTTGAAATGCAAATGCATGATGATGCATGATTTTGAAGTGCGCGACAACGCACGGCTTTTGAGATGCACGTGAACTTGAATATGCGACGACGCGAGTCGCTTGAAACACATGTATAATGAAACTCATCAAAAGTCGTTCGGGCACGACAAACACCGAAGGACTTGCACCTTCAGAGGATTTAGGGTCTCCTAGACCGTGGCGGACTCTCGATATGCCTCACTCGAAGTATACCATACCTGTTCGGTTTGTCAGGTTGCACCAGCCTTAAATGAACCGTACATACAATATCGTACCTGCAAAGAAAACAACTTAACAGGTACGATGGTATTAACAACATGCATATTAATGTACTTAGAAATGCGTGACAACGCAAAGCAAGTGGGAAGCATAACAATGCTGTGAAGGCACAGACACGTAAGTGGAACACGCGGTCTACGCAGGCAACGAAATTGATCATAAGCATGCGGTCTACGCAAGCAATGAAATTGAACATACGCATGCGGTCTACGCAAGTAGAACATGCGGTTTTCATAAGAATGCGGTCCACGCAAGTAGAACATGCGGTTTACGCAAGCAAAACATGCGGTCTACGCAAGTAATGAAATTGATTATGAACATGCGGTCTACGCAAGCAAAACATGCGGTCTACGCAAGTAGTGTAATTGAATGCATGCAAAATGCAATAAGATGCGCAAAATAGCGCGATGCGTTAGACAGCGCGAGTGCACAAGACAGTGCGATTGACATGTGATGCACATGGGGCAACTTTTGAGTTTTGTAAAAACCAAAAGGATATAGAAAGGATACACCTTGCACGAATTCGAGTGCCACGCACAGAAGACCCGATCCGAGGTCAAAACGGAGGCCGGTTGAGCGTCAGAAATGCACTGTTTTGCATTGTTTTGAACACTAAAGGCCCTAGACCCCACATATAACTCAAACAAAGGTGTAGGAGGCTCCAAAACTACTGTAGGAGATCACCGGATGTCCACCGGCCATCAAAATGCATCACCGGCCATCCATCGGCCATCATACAATTTCCATCGGCACAATATTTTGCTGACCGGCAAAGAGTGTGGCCGACCGGCAAAAAGTCCCTGTATCAGGGCAGTTCAGTCATTTCGCCACAGGTCCTTTAAAATAGGGCTTCTAGCCCTATTTTCTTTACTTCCCCTTGCTCGAAATCTCCTCCTCTCTCTCTCTAAGATATTTTCCGAGCCTTATTCCCTCGTTTTCCTTGGTTTTTGGCTCCGTTTCGTCATTCGATTCGCATTTACCCTTGCGTTTCGAATGTTTTGAACCGATTGAAATTTCATTTCGGTGTTGTTTTTTCGATTTCCGCCACTCGGGGCTTGTTTCCCTCGAGTTTTTCTCGATATCTGTGCCTTTTCTGTAATGACCCCAAAATGCGTATAAGAAATCATCTTTATTTCCCTATGAAATGATGTGGTTTAATTTAATTATATCTATTAGAATTGAAGCATTATCAGTTGAGTTACGGACTTAAAATGGGAATTACCGACCTTTATGGGTTCAAAAATCAAAATGATCCCGAGGCCGACCCCTTGCCACTTCATATCCGGCCGTTCAATCTGGAGACCTACAGGCCTGCGGTTCATGTGATGCTCCCCGATGGACTATGCCAGTGCCGGAGCTTCGAGAGGGGCGTGGCACCCGAGCTTCTCCTGCGTGAGCCTACCTCCCATCTGTCCTTCGGCGCTTTCGAGGTAACATTCTTTCTTCTGTTTTATTATTTTCCGCAATGTAGAACATAACTGCCATTAGTTGATTCTGTTCTTTAACTGCTTAGCCCGGATGCACCGATACACTGTACACTATAGTTGATTGCAAACAAACTTACAACCGATATCTGTTTGAAACTTACACGTGCACACACACTGCACTGACCCTGAATCACCCAAACACACGGCGCACACTGTATTTCACTGCATACACACTAGTACCCGGTATCTGCTTGAGTCTGAAAACATGCACACATGCTATATTTGCCCTGAACCACTTAAACACGTTGACACATCACACGCTGTAGTTTACTATAAGTACACCGGCAATCGATGTCTGTTCGAATTTGAAAACATGCACACATGCTATATACCTGTATGCTTCTTAAAACTGCATTTTGAATATTGCCTCGCAATTGTTGTTTTTGATTACAGGGGGATTCCCATACCATCCGCGGGTATGGGAACATCGTTGCTCGGGAATGGTGTATAGAGCTGCCAGACGCGGTTCGTCATATCGTCGACGAGGCCGGTTTCGGCATCTTTTGCAGGGGGCTCTCCCGGCTTACGACCTGCAGGCCCTTGCTTGCCGCTTTAGTGGAGAGGTGGTGGGATACCACCAACTCCTTCCACTTCTCCGTTGCGGGGGACATGACGATGACCCCTTATGATTTCTCGATGCTCACCGGCATCGGGGTAGGGGGTGATCCGATCCCCTACCCCGATGCCGGTGAGCATCGAGAAATCGTAAGGGGTCATCGTCATGTCCCCCGCAGCGGAGAAGTGGAAGGAGTTGGTGGTATCCCACCACCTCTCCACGCCTTGGCGGAGGAGGCGCAGATGACCCCGGAGGAGGTGGATCAGTACGTGCGGGGCTTCATCATGTTCCTCTTCGGGACGCCTCTTTTCACCGACCGGGCGAACACCGTGCCTCTATGTCTGTTGAGCTCATTGGTGGATGTCAGGCGGATCTGCCGTTATGACTGGGGTGGTGCTGGCTTGGCCACTTTGTATGGTTACATTAGCTCTTCTTCCCGCCTCAGCAGACAGTTTCTTGGCGGCTACTGGCGAGCTTGGGAGGTACATCTTCTTCCCCTTTTACATTTCTGCTTCACCTTTTCTGTATTCTGTACACTGCATACACCACGGTCTGCCTCTCACTGACTATATACTGCACACGCGGCACACATATACTCTGCTTTACTTTGACTGTATACTGAAAACATTGTATACTCTGTACAATACACTGCACAACACACGGCTCCGCCATTTCTGCTTTATTCTGTATTTTGCTTTACCTGATAGTCATACTTATATCTGTTCTGCAGTTTGTGGGTGTATGCTACTTTTCCCAGGCTTGCCCCGAGTACCTGATTGGACCCACTTGCGTCCCCCTTTTCTCATCGCTTTAGAGTGCGATGCGGTGCAGAGGACACGGGAGTTCTGATTTTCTTCCGCCGCTACTTCGACACCATCACCGCCGCGAGTATGTTTCGACTTAGAATTTTGCTTAGTTCGCTTAAGCACTGTATGTTTTCAATAACAGTAGATAACAAACTGTATTTCATTTTCAGATCACCTGGCGGCCTGGCTCCATTGCCAGCCGTGGTTGAGCGGATCATACGAGGGCGCAGAGGAGACTGCCCGTTGCCGGATTCTGTTGGAGGGCCCGGTCTGTCAGGCTTGGTACCTGGGCGAGCGTTTCTTGCGTCAGACCCTGGGTTTACCGAAGTAGATAGTCCCAGGTCCACCTCCTACACATATGAGAGATACTGAGAGGTTCATTACCTAGGAGATGGCCGATTACACAATCGGCTGGGACACGGGGGCTTCAAGGGCGAGGGTGACTTCAGAGAGTACGTCTAGACCTACATCATGCGACCCTTGAGCGGTGGTCGCCTAGCTGAGAGGGAGAGGCCAGTGACGCCGGCAGCTGGAGCAGGAGCTGGGGCAGGGACGTCGAGGACGGCTCGTGTCCGTGGCAGGAGCGGACCTCGGAGGGGTCAGGGGGTTAGCTGGCCAGCGCTACCTACGGTACTGACATGCCGAGGGCAGGGTGGGGGGACGTACCAGATTCCCTTTGCTCCTCCTCCGGCTGACCATGAGTTGGTCGGGTTCTATGACTTACCTCCGGTATGTACTACTTTATCTTGCATCTTGCATTGTCATTTTATTTCAGTTTATTTTGATATTCCACAGAATACTGATGCCTTTGATACTTTTGCAAGCGTCCTCCGAGTACACCCGGCAGTCCCTGGAGTTGAATGCCTCCATGATGGGGATGCTACACCAGACCTTCGACCTCCTGGCCCTCTATAGTATTCCGGT